ATAATAATAATAATAATAATAATAATAATAATAATAATAATAATAATAATAATAATAATAAAAACTCACATGATGTATTGACAGTTATTAACACTCCACTCTTCCTTTATTAATTATTATTAGTCTTCTTTAGAGAATAACGTTTCTGTACTTCGAGAAGGCAAATTCGTGAATTATGTCTTCAAAATCAATTTCTACCAAAATGTCATTTTCAATAGTCATCAAACTTAAATTATTTAATCGTGGTTGTGACATGCAATTTCATAACTCGTCTTTTGTTATCTTCAACTTAGAAAACGAACATTTCCGAGATGCTTTGGTCACAAAATTAGGAAAATTCTCAGCAATTTCTATATTGAGGAATGCTGATGATATATTCTCATTATTCATGTAACTTTTCAAGTTTTGAATGTTGATATTTTTTTCATTATCTCCAGCATATTCTTGTAAATATTTTATATTTACTTTTAGATATGCATTAAAATGGTGACATTTAGGTATGCAGTAATGGTGTTCACTTTAAAATTTGCAAGGATTGTAATATTTCAAAATTTCTATTTTCTCTCATTCATGCAGACTGTTCAAAAAACCCATCCATAGCAAATCCATCAACAATGTCTACATATGCTTTACTAATTTGGAGTTCTAGACTAGAATCCAGAGTGTATATTATTGGTAGGAATGAACTTTTCTCCTCCCAGAAGTTTCTCGTTCCTCATTACTACATCCTCTATCTGCAAATGCAAGAATGGAGCTTCTTTTTATTTTGACGTCTTTGCCTACCATGATATTCATTCACAACTGATTTCTCTTTTGATTTGAACTCATGTTCGTCAAAATTATCTCTCTTCTCCATAATTATTATTCCCTAATTTTTTCACTATTATGACTTCAGCATCTTAACTGCTACAGACAAATTTACTTTTCACTTTGCAGTAATTTACTTTCTGCGTTAAATTTACTGAGGAATTCATTCCATAATATTGTTTAAAAAACTGTTTCAAGTTTGTCAAGTTTTTACTCTGAGCCTTTAGACCTGTCTCTGTCGGCTGACTTGTCGCATCATTTCTTACAGACTGAAGACATAATCTTATTTCATTATATCCTTCACATAAAGCATTTACTGCATTTGCCTACGCCACCCATCTATAGTATATGAAAGTTATTTCACCACTCTATGATGAGGACTTAAATATGAACAAAGTATCTCCCAGCCAGCGGTGTGTTGACGATGAAAAGATGTAAAGATTTTGTACCGAATCAAAGTAAATTGTCACAGCTAAAACACTTGGTAGCATCTACCCCTACTAAATTGAGAGTGTCCAGCATATGGTACATACTCAGCTTACTTATTTAGTTCTTTTTTCTTCGTTTGTAGCCCTGAACATAGCCCTGACATGTTTGCTGCGTTGTCATAAGACTGTCCCCCACAATTCATAATATCTATGTTATTGATTTTTAAAAAGTGGTGTCACAACTTCAGAAAGATGTTCTGCATTATGACCATGAATGGAAATAAACTTCAATTTTAACAGCATCCATCATAAATCTTACTATAAACGTAAGTAGATCAATGAGTCACATCCGAAGTGGAATCTAATAGCGTACGAGTAGTAGATATAGCGAAGTATTTTGCCTATCCAATTTCCGAAATGATTACTGAAAGAACTTGAGTTACCATTATTTCAGCCACCTCTCACAAATGGTGACTGATAAGTATGATGACATCCTTCCCTGCATTACCATATTTCTTCACGTGTTCTTGTAAGAATTAGTCAAACTGTCTTATAAGTTCCAAAATACCCACATAATTTCCATTTTTACTGAACAAACTCTTTGGTCAGAACCTCTTAAAGGGAATCCTATCGATACTAAGAGTTTAATTACTGCAGTAGCTCTTTTCAACACCTCTTTCCAGTACTGTCGCCCAATAGGGAGCAACGGTGTATCTTCTCGCCCGAGTGTTTTGATCAATACATATACAATAAGCTACCATGCAATTTCTACGTTCTCGACTATTTGCATGTT